AACTGGGAGCCCCTAGACCCTAAACCCTAAACCCTAAACCCCGAAACCCCAAACCCCTAAACCCGTAAACCCCTAAACCCTAAACCCCTAAACCCCAAACCCCTAAACCCGTAAACCCCTGAACCCTAAACCCTAAACCCTTAAACCCTACCAAGCAACGGCACCAGCCACGCTGGCTCCACGTCTGGCTAGTCAGACGGACGTCTTCTTCTGCATGCGGCACCGGCGGGCACAAGATGAAGAAGAAAAAGGATCCCGCGACGTATGTATGGATGCTGCGAATGGCAGCATGCCTTCTTGCTACACATTCTGGATCGCTCCCCTGCGGAACACTCATATAGTCATACCAAACATAAAGCTGCTTGCTTCTGAAGGTAGCCACAGTTGGTACCTTCATGCGCCCCCAATATATCTCATTTGGGATTGGACCAACCACCTTGCAGGCTCCGGACAGCAGGCCACTCAGCATCTTTTGCAGAATTCTGAACTGCTGAAAATGTGGGTCAGGATGATGATAGCTTACCCACTGGTGAGAGACAAATACAGCGTGACCCAGCTCCTCATGAAACTCACAGAGCAGGTTGGCATCCAAAAGCTCCTCATGAGTTGGAAGGGTCGCAATCGCCAGAACTGTCTCCAGTGTTACGGTGTACATCGGAAAAGTTCGCTCTGAAGTCGAGCGGAAAACCTCGTCAGGGGTTCAAAGAAGCTGAAACAACCCCAACGGCACCTAACATGCGTATTCGACCCTAAACTCATTACCCAGGCAGCTTGTACCATTTTTCCAGCGTTGCTGTACTTAGCCCTAAGCCCTAAACCCTACCGGAACCCTTACATCCTCAGCCCAAGAGGTCCAAGTACCTCGTAATCACTCCCCCAACACTGCCACTACCACTCCTAGTGCCAAAGCTCGGGGTACCCAAGGGTTTAGGGTCTAGGGTTTGGGGTTCTGGGGACCCAGTTGTTGGGTACTTGGTAGCCTTACAGTTGATGCTGAAATTCTGCCTGAACCTAGTATACTAAACTGCTAGAATTGCGAAGGTCGAGGTATTTCGGGCCAAACAGGATTTTTGGTATGAACTGTACTGAAGGAGCCTAGTTAACCACCAATAACCTTTTGTGGTCTCATTAATTGAGGTACCCTATACCAAAATTATAACATCTTAAGAATCCCAAACCATGTTTTTGGTAATCATTTAGGCCCCTTCAGCACCCCTAAACCCAAAAAATCCCAAAATCTCTACGCCCTAAATCCTTAAACCCTAAACCCGAAAAACCGAAATGATTCATTAGATCACTCATGAAACCCTAAACCCTAAACCCCTCTACCACCTCTGACTCATCTGGTGCAGAGCCCATGGCACTCATGGCGTCCAGTTGGCAGGTTGACGACCGACAACCCTAAACCCTATACCCAGGGGTTTAGGGTTTAGGGCTTAGGGTTTAGAGTTTAGGGTTTACGTTTTAGAATACCCTAAACCCAGAAACCAGTGCTTGTAAAGAAAGATCATCTGTATGCTGAGGCTGTCATGCTTGCAGATCGATAAACATCTGAAAGCCAGCTCAACACATGCGCCATAGTCTAAACTCCTAGTATCCCCCTATACTTGTCCCCTATATAATCCCCTATATAACCCCCTTTAAGGAGTTTAGACTATAGCTCACCTGTGCAATTTGGCTCTAAGGTCGTCATCTGAAACCCTACCCTAACGGGCCAAATACTTATATAATAATCACATACCTGCCCAAACCCTGTACTCCAGTTTCCCGCCACTCAATCCTGAGTACCCCAGTATTAATTAGGGCTAGGGCGTGTGTTGCAACTGGCAGATTTGCTTCAGGGCCGCCTTGATCCACTCATGCAGCATCCTGTGCTCCTGTTGACATGGTGAAAAAACATTCTTTTCACATGGGAGCTTCATAAAATTTAGAGGGGTCGCTTTGGGAAGTCCCCAGAATAAGGAGGATAATCTTCAGGGCTGGGGCCCCCCTGTTTATGGAATCAACCACATGTCTCTTCGGATCAGGTATAAAAGCGAGAATATCGCTGTGTGAGAGCTGAACTAAGCTGTTGGCGATTCCCCATGGCCTCCAGACGCACTGGAAAAGTGCGAGCGACGTTGCACCTTGGGCCAACTACCTTTAGCTGGTTCTCAGCATCATGACTATCAGGATTTAGGGTTTCGGGTTTAAACAATTTCAGATTTAGGGTTTGGGAGGCATCCAGAGCTTGAATTAAGGGAGCATTAAGGATACATAGAGACCGACAAATTGTATTGCTGATTCTGTACGACCTTCTGGGAGGGTGGAGGGAGGCAAAAATCTTAGCGTGTCTACTGTGGTGGCTTAGAGCTTACTGACACCTCCCAAGCACCAAACACAACAGCATTTCATCAATCTATCCAAGGTTACCTAGACCCTAGGGTTTAGGATTTAGGGTTTAGGTACAAAGCACCTTTTAATGGGTACATCGGTTAGGTGGGTATAGGCTAGTATTTAGGATGTCTAGATGGAGGTCAGGGTACAGACTTCGAAGGTTGAAACCATGGGTCTCTAGTATGGGCCCTTAAACCCGCGATCCTTGTATACCTACGACCTATATGTACCCTGAAAGGCCTCTGAAAGGGCCCATACTTCAAACTTCTGAAGGTTGCGCATGGAACGCCACATGCGCTATAGTCTAAACTCCTAATATCCCCCTTCATAACACCTATACTATATCTCCTACTATCCACCTTAATAACACCTATACTACTATCCCCCTTAATAACACCTATACTATATCTCCTACATAGCCCCCCCCCCCACGTAAGGAGTTTGGACTATAACTTACATCAACAACGGACCAAACCAGACCTCCCTAAAGCCTCTCTTAGGCGCCACATCGTCTTCAAACCTTAAACCCTCAAACCCTAAACTAGGGTTTAGGGTTTAGGGTTTATGGTTTAGGGCCCCCACAAATGGAGTCCGCTTAGGGACGTCCTTGATTTTCTGTAGGGATCCAGATCGCCTAAAGTGGTTACCATTCATAGACTTGAAGCCTCCCGGTAGGGATCATGGGCAGACTTGGAAGCCCAACGTGCGAAGGAAGTTCCAAACCCTAGGGGACATGGTTTAGCCCTGATACCCTTAACACTGTGCAATCGACTCTAAGGTCTGTGCGCGAAGTGACCTCCGCGATGCGAAAGACAAACACTCCCCACCTGCTCGTTAGGTGTTGAGAAATTGGGGGGTTGAGGGTTTTGGGTTTCTGGTTGGGGGTTTGGGATTTGTGGCTGAGGGTTTAGGAGTACCAGGCCCCCAACACTACTTCCCCCAAGGTTCCCCCTTAACTAAGGTTATTGATGTTGAGGGATATTGAAAGCTATAGAGCTGAGGCCCATTTAGGGGCACCTTTGGGGCAGTAGTATAGGGGGGTAGTAGGGGGGGATCCATGATAAGGGCTTAGCACGTTACTAGCACGAAGCTACCGAGGACACAGGGAGTCGTTTCCCAAGCTTCTGAAGTGCTAGACTCATGAGGTACCTTGCTCTGCTCAAAAAACATATACGTGTTTCTCAAGATGGGTTTTATACGCTTCAAGGAGCGGGGATCCTAATTCTAGAGACTCACAGACAGATCTGGCAATGTTCGGGCATTTCTCTTGGTGATGTCCTGAAAAAGCATCCTTGGGCAGGAGTTCTCCTTGAGGAATTTCTCAACCTCCGTCTCCTTGTCTGAGGAGATCAAGTGGCGGTATGTTACCGCCACAGCATGTAAGGCAAAGAGCGGAGCCTCCATGCCGAAGCAATCAGTTCCAACATCGATAACGGACCAGTTCGTACGCGAGGCTTTCGGACGTCAGGCTTTGGGCCAATCCTCCCGCAACTGGAAAGCGGCGTCGAAGAAGGGGCAACCCCAAGCGACAAATTAGGGTTATATTGTTACAGGGTTTGGACATTCTAGGGGTTGTATAGGGCAACTATAGGGCCTATATTGGGACAGTAAGGGGGTATAGGAGGACATCCCCAGTATCCCTGAACCCCTTTATATCGCTACAAAATATAACGCCCATAGTGCAATAGTATTCTAAACCGTAAAACCTAAACCGTGCTACAAATGACGCCAAGGCGATCTCAGGGACTAACACAATTGAACCGCAAGCCTAAAGCCTATACCCTAATCCCTATAAACTCCCACACCGCTGAACCCTGCATGGGCCGAAGTCCTGCAATCCCTAAGTCCTACACCCTACATCCCTAAACCCGAAACCCTAAAACCTGAAACCCTAATCCCTGCACTCTGCTGTTCTTAGTCCTACCTAAACCCAAAAAGTATGTAAAATAATGGCCCTAAACCCATAAGAACAGCCATAAAGGCCATTATTTTACATAATTTTGGGGTCCAGGTACACCCTAAACCCCTTAAGCCTAAACTCCTCATCCTTAAGCCTCAGAGCTCCAACCCCAAAAAACCTTGCAACCGTAAACACTTAAGGGTTTAAGGGTTTAAGGGGTTTAGGGTTTAAGGGTTTAAGGGGTTTAGGGTTTAAGGGTTTAGGGGTGTAGGGTTTAAGGGTTTAAGGGGTTTAGGGTTTAGGGTTTAAGGGGTTTAGGGTTTAAGGGTTTAAGGGGTTTAGGGTTTAGGGCCAAAACCTCCAACCCCATAACCCTCAACCCAAAATCTTAAGCCTTCAAACCTGAAACCCTAAAACCAGGAAAGCTCAACTTATTGGTGTTTCAGCTGGCACGGAGGAGTGGACCATAATGGACCCCTTCAGCTATGCCGTTTAAGGGTGTAGGGTTACGGGTTTAGGGTTTAGGGTTTATGGTTTAGGTTTAAGTTCTACTTTCTAGATCCACCCCGGGGTGTGGATGTGCTTATCTAATCTTCATGTGGGGGTTATACCGGTGTGTGTGGGTGTCTATATATATACACATACATATATAGAGAGAGATAGGGGTTAAACAGGTACACATAGTACATAGGGTTAGGTTTGGGGGGTTAGAGGTCAGGGTTTACCGTTGATCTAAGGGTCCTTTGGAAATCTTTGGGGCTTCTGTAGGTCTATGGAGGAGATGGAGGGAACTCATGTTCCATGATGGCCAGTTTTGGGAACAAGAATGTTAATCAACTACCAACACACTCCGTTAACTACCTATATTCACTCACTTCCAGCAGCGGGTAGTTTCCATAAATATGGGGTTCTAGTATAGGCCCAAGTATACTCTATACGATAATCCTCATCTTAGGTACTGCCCGAAAACTTGACCCTCATTGTTAGAATCCCGCAGCAAGTCAAGTGAAGGTGTCGATAGCCCAATTCCTGCATGACCTTAGTATCCTACAGTACCATAGCCAACGCTAAAAATAGCATGAACCAAACCCATGGACAAGGGCGGCGCACCACTTGGCATTGGAGCCGCGGCAATAGCCGGGCCTTGAACATCTTAGGCTTCGGGGTTTAGTCTACGGGCTCCTAAGATGGGCCCTGAATCCTGGGGTCATGACATTCCCATTATATGCTCTACTAGATGCTTATAATCGCACAAACCTATTAATGTCATTCGACCATAGCTAGGATCAGGAAACAGGTACGTGCCCATGTTAAGTGCCCATAGTCAGGACCTTGGATTTAAGGATTTATGGTTTAGGGTTTTGGGGTCTAGAGTTAGG